TTCGTTGATCGCGCATGAAAGAATCTTGATGAGTAACCACTGCAAGACGATGATACGGCCACAATGAAACGATTGCGATCAGTAAGCTCAATAACGTTTACGACATATCTCATCTGCAACTTTCAGTTGATTCTCTTCGATGTTAATTTCACTGACATTATTACTGTTCATCATGCTTATTTGTCAATATATTTTGCTATTGTGTTTCGTTCCATGATATTCAATAAAAACTGATCATAATAAATAGTAATGTGTGTGCGTGTCGATCATCACGAAATACGTGATCAGAATGGCAAAAACGCGATTCGAGCGTTTTGTATGGGTCACTGAAGATTGAACGGTAGCGGCGGATATCATGACATATTATAGTCGGCCGTGATTAACGTGAAGGTTCATGAAGAAACGTGCAATGAACAGAAAGAAACGGAATGTAATACGTAATTGAACCATGAAAACGGTACAGTGAAATGAATGAAATGGAGAGTCCATCAGCAGAGAAGTGACGGTGCCGGCGAGCTGCAAGAATCTTTCTCAATCGGAACTACCGCATTGGAATGTGAAGGTAGTTCACTTTTGTGCATTTCAACCGCAATGGTTTCGTTTTCAGATTGCAAAAATAATGCATTTATGCAAATAAGACTGCCTAAGAGATAATGCCGCATGTGATTCGGTGACTTAATACAGATCATAATAAATCACAATAACTGGTACGGATTCGATCGCTTTGCATTCGAACGTCATCGTCCTTCATCTTTGAATGTCAGGTGTATATGTTTGTGTGCAACATTTTATGCTCTAACTGCCTCAGGCGGTTTAAGTGTTCCGTGTTGGCCAAATGAATAGTGATGATTAGGATTCTGCATGCTTTCGGAACATTCACAATCGGCTTGTTGTGAATCAGCAGCTCAGCTGACTATATATACCAAAATCCACACCGTGAAAGGACCACTCTTATGCATTTGTTGATTTGTCTTTCATCTGCTGTTTCCCGTTGCTTGAGGCATATCAACTGCTTATTGTCACTTATAACCGTTTTGCTCGCCCCAACTTGAGTCGAAGCTTTCCGCTCTATCAAGATGTATTTCACTGCATTGCTTATCATGCAATAGCAATTGGGGTATCAGAGAGAAGCTTACCAATTTAAATTTTACGAATAGTCTAGATAATGAACGAATTTAGAGTATAATTCAACTTGTACATCATCATAATCTCGGTAGAACTTCGCAAAACGGTTCCAGCACACCTGAAAACCGTGTGAATGTCGCAGTCTGTTATTCAGACATCTTAGGAACATTACTAACTATTGCTCTCACAATCAGCGATAACTGCTAACAATTAATGCAAACCGCATTTACGAGCATATAACAACTAAGCAGTCGCGTAATGAGCAATCTGCAATGAGCCTTAGTGTTAGTTTTCCATTCAGTGTTTCCGTGAAGCGATTGAATTAGCCAGCATTCAACTGGGCAAAGAATGTTATCGTGATTTATTGTTGAACGTTGATAATTCTTTGTTACATCAGTGCCACTTTCAGATGCATAACACAGCCGTTGTTCTCGTTTGTGCTACACTCGTGGCTCATTTTGCTTTGAATGAGGCATCTTCGGGATGTGGTTCGTCTGGATGTGGAAGTAGGAGTTCGGTTAGTGGTCACGCTGGTGGTTGTGGTGGTCATGGCGGCGGTTGTGGCAGTGGTCATGGCGGTGGTTGGGGTTGGGGTTTGCTGGGCTGCGGAATGCCAGGTGGTGCTTTGCTAGGATGTGGAACTGGAGGTTGCGGTGGATGTGGTGGTGGGGCTGGTGCCGCTGGACTATTCGGCTGCGGAAGTCTTTGCGGAAGCAGTGGATGCGGTGGACATAGCGCTGGTTGTGGTGGTGGTTTGCTGGGCTGCGGAATGCCAGGATGCAAAACTGGAGGTTGTGGTGGAGGTGCTGGCTTACTCGGTTGCGGAAGTCCCTGCGGAGGCGGCGGATGTGGTGGACATAGCGCTGGTTGGGGTGGTGGATTACTGGGCTGCGGAATGCCAGGATGCAAAACAGGAGGTTGTGGTGGAGGTGCTGGTTTACTCGGCTGCGGAAGTCCCTGCGGAGGAGGTGGATGCGGTGGACATGTCGCTGGTTGTGGTACTAGCGGATGTGGTGCAGGCTTACTCGGTCTTGGAAGTCTTTGCGGAAGCAGTGGATGTGGTCAACATTGCAGTGGTGGTGGTGGTGGTGGTGGTGGATGTGGTGGTGGCTTACTGGGCTGCGGAATGCCAGGTGGTGCTTTGTTAGGATGCGGAAATGGAGGTTGTGGTGGTGCTGGTGGATTATTCGGCTGCGGAAGTCTTTGCGGAGGAGGTAAATGCGGTGGACATGGCGCTGGCTGTGGTGCTAGCGCATGTGGTGCTGCCTTACCCGGTTTTGGAGGTCTTTGCGGAAGCAGCGGATGTGGTCATCATTGCAGTGGTGGTGGTGGTGGATGTGGCAAATAATCTGAGGTAAA